GGCACATTAGTAAAGCACTGAATATAAATATCTAAAGGTGGCATTAGAAATCAATACATTGTTTTATTTACAAATCAGATATCTTTCAAAAAACGTGTTCTTTTCATTCAACTTAAGCCTATCACTGAGTCTAAAATGTGGCCATAACAGATCATTTAATTAATTTTCATTTTTAAGATGTTATGTTTAAAATTAATGCTAATGAATGTTTTAAACTTGACACCAAACTGGGGTGGCAGCTGGGGTGGCCAGGCATTGGCAGGTGCCACCCCATGTCACCACTCTTGATCTGCCCCTGAGTGTTGTGCCTAGAAGCCTGCGTGATACCTTACAGTGTGCAGGAGGCCCATGTCAGTGCCAGTTTTGCTCAGCTTGGCAGAGGGATGTTGCATTCCTGTCATTAGTCACTTACTTACATACTGTGTCTAGCACAAGGAGGCAGCCTTCATTCTCTTCTACTTATTTGTTCTGCTCAACCACGGCTTTCTAAACACTCTCTTTCTCTTGCTTTCCCTTCCTCTTCATTGTTCTGTTCCCCCATTCCACTCCATTTATATTCTTTTACCCCTTTGATTAATTCTGTCTTCTCTTCTCACTGTTGTCATCGTCTGGTAATACTTCAACAGTTCCCTTAATAGATCTCAGCTGGGTTTCCATTGACCAGCTTTTGACTGGCACCGTTGCCTCTTCCCTTTTAAAGGAATGGCTGTGGTGTCTTAGCTTGATAGATTTTCCTGTTTCTGTGACATGGAGAAGGGGAGCCTGCTGTTGTTAGAATAATTATTTGACTCAAACAAGGAGAGAATGACATGCTCCCTTTTTTTTAAAAACTTAGTTATCTACCCAGCAGAGGGAACAACATGGCTCTGTCTAATCTGCTTGCCTTTTTGTAGAATTTAAGATTAAACTATCTGCCGCAAAACTGCACATGTGAGATTGCCTTTTGTCGTACAACTGTCACACACATGAATGGACCCTTCCTAAGCCCCGCCCCATTTTGCTCTGTGCCCCAGAGCGAGCTTTGGTCAGAACCTCTGTCAACTTTCTCGTTTACTGTACTTAGATATGCTAGGTGCTAGGCTAATATATGTTGAAAATACAACCACATTTTGAAGATTGTTCTGAAGAGAGTTAAGTTAGCTAATGTTAGCAAAATGCTAGTTAACAGACGATTGATGTAAAATAGTTAGCCAGCATTTTGCTAACATTAGGTTTCAGATGTATATGGCTAGCAAACGATTGATGTAGATTAGCTAGTTAGTTAGCTAGCAATTTCCGATTATTAGGTAGCTCCATTGTGACTATATATGTGTGTCTGTTATCTTTTAACCATTTTCAAAATGTGGTTGTCTTTTCCACATAGATGACCCTAGGACATAGCATATCTAAGTACAGGAAGCCATTTTTTTGCCCAGGGGGGTGAAGTCATGACCTGACTTACTCTGCCTCTGATTGGCTTATCCTTACAGCCTTAACCTAACTCAAACCAATCTCACTCCTCCTAATGTTAGCTAGCTAGTCTTGCTAACATTAGCTTTCAGAAGTTGAGATTGATGTTGATTTGCTAGCTTGTTAGCTCGCATTTTTCCGCAACATTAGCTAACTTAAGATGTGACTATATATGTCACTTTTATCTTTTAAACATCCTCAAAATGTGGTTGTCTTTTCAACATAGAGAGCCTAGCACATAACATATCTAAGTATAGGAGAGGACTGAAGCTTGCTCAACTCTAATTGGAGCACAGAGCCAAAAGGGGCAGGACTTAAGAAGGGTCAATTAGTATTAACCAAAGAAACACTGGTTGGTATAAGAATGCTGCACCTTCTATTCCAAAGTCTTATTTCCATTCTGTTGCTTTTTATTTTATATGCATTTGATTTTATTGATACATCACGTATGCATTGTTATCCTCATTTCTGTTTTGTTGTATTTCGTTTTACTTCATTTGATTTATGTCCCTTTTTTTTCCTTTGATCCCCCTTTTTTTTCCTGTTCTCTTTCCTTTGGCTTGCACTTCCATCCCCTCTTGTGATCTTGTCCTCTCTCTCTCTCTTTCCTGCTCTGTACATTTTCTGTTTTCTTCCATTTCTACCATTTCTCTGGTAGCCAACAGGGTCTAGTTGCCAGATGCAGCCTGTACAGTCGGCACATGGACTGCAGAGCTGTTGGACTGCTGGACAGACACTTGCCAGGTAGGGTTTAGTGAGGATGTTAATGGCAGTTAAAAACTTTGTTAGACACATATGTGGCCATATCAGTCATATTGGATAAGATGCTTAATTACTGTGTTATACTGGTCATCATGTTGTAATATTACGTGGTTACAAAGCTTATTCAGTGGCCCAGATTTAAAAAAATACAGAATCATTCTAATTATTTGGTATGAAGTTGGTTTTAAATATAGATGTATTTGTGTGAAGTAGGGATGAGCAAGAACACTATTATCTGTATCTTTTGCAGCAAATAAATTATCTGCATTTGTATCTGTACTCTGAATGGGTGGGGCTTAAACTGTGTGTGGGTGGGACTAAACGGTGTTGTTCATCAGCCTGAAATTGATATAGGTTTAAAAAGTTTTTCAATAAATAGGTGTATTAAATGAAAAACAATTTATAGAACAGCCTCAACCACTCGGAAAAAGTACATGTACTGGATACTACTCAACCCTAGTGTGAGGAAACCAAAAAGTCCCTCACACCGTTGATCGTCTGTTCACACTTGATTTATTAATTGTATGTCCTCGAATCTTCTTCAGATGGTATAGACTATATGAATTTTATCAGAATGTTGTTAACCCTTAGGTCCTAACTAAGAACAAAGCAAAACTACACTACCACTACATGGCAAAAGTCAGCAAATATGAAAAATCATACTGATACATTCATCAAATATATAATAGAATGCATCAAATATATGATACCAACACCACTTAATGTTTTTATTAGGGCCCGAGCAACGTGCGAAGGCCCTATTGTAATTGAAGGAATTCTTCTTTTTCTTTTTCTTATTTTTCCTCCTAAACAAACGCATATTTGGAGGCCTCAACATGCTCGAAAACTCATGAAACTTGGCGCACACATCAGTCGTGGCGAAAAATTTTATATTCTATGCGTCGCTTTTGGGTTGGCCACTAGGTGGCGCTACTATCATGAAACATTGAAAAGTGCGTTTAGGCCTAATAACTTCTCCATAGTTGTCGCACATTCAAAAACCTTATTATCACGCGTTCGGTGAATGGAGCTGAAATCTCCCATATAGGCCACGCCACTTCGCCTAGAATTTTTTCCCCGTCAGAGCGCTAAATGTCAAAAAACTACATTTTTCGTTACTCCTATATGCTTTGTCTGATTCGCACGAGATTTTTCAAGTAGCATCTTGGGGACCACCTGCAAAAAAGTATTTGAAGAATTTTGATATTTAAAAAAATAAGTACATTATAAAATTAGCACTTCCTGGTACATTTTTTGTCAAAAAAGGAAAGTGGACCATTCTCCACATTGGTATGCTCCGATTGACACCAAGTTTGGTTCCATAGTCCCCGTGTCTTCCTTAGGCATCGTGCACAATTTCAGGCCAATAGACGTATAGTTATGAATATGAATTCACAGGGC